GAACCTGAGACCAGGAGCCAAAACGAACCTTCTCCCTGTGAGCCGCTGTCCTCGGTGTTGTCATGGTGACCTAAGGTGACACGCCCACACTGGCGGTGCTGGGTTAGGGCCCACCGCACACTCACCTTACACTGCCTTTGTCCCCTTTTAGTCATCCTGTGGTGGTGCCGCGGTGGACCCTGGGCACAAGCGAGGTGGGCAATACCCCCCCTGAGCCTCGGCTGGTCGCTTGATCACCTCTCCAAAGGCACAGCTCCACCACCACCCTCGACGTCCTGGGCAGGACGTTAGTGCATGGAAATTCAGCCCCAGCCAATGGGAGCAGGGTCAGGCAGATGGTGGCCCACGCACCAGGGGACGCCACCACGAAACAGAAGTGGACAGTCCCCCCCACAAGCAGACCTCTGGGGAACCGTGCTGACCCTAAAACACCAGCACCTTGAGGTCACCATGCACTCAAGCCCTCTCGGGGAACACTGTGGAGGGACAGCATCTGCAAAGTGGAGGGCAGATCAGGAGCCGGGCAGGGTGAGGCCCGGGAGGAGCCTGTCATAAGGGGAGGTACGCGTCCAACGCATGGAGCTGTCACTGTCTGTGCAGGGACAGCAGGCAGACCCTCTTTCCCGGCTACCCTGAAACATGCATCGTGTGCTGTGCACCCGCAACCAGAGCCCGTCCCTCCTGTGTGACTGTGGCCCGGCTGCTGGCCCTGACCAGGTCCAGCACCTTCTCCACACATATCAAGACATCACACTGCACTGCACTGTGCAGAGAGCGCAGTGGCAATGCGTCCATCAAAAGTGAAGCTCTGGATGGTATCACTCAGAGGTAGAACGCTTGCCTAGCGTGCTTGAGGTGCTGGGTTTGCACCCCAGCACTGCATGGGCACATAAAGAAATACATACATAAGCCAGGTGTGGTGGCGCATGCCTGTAATCCCAGCACTCAGGAGGCTGAGGCAAGAGGATCACTGCGAGTGCTAGACCAGCCAGGGCTACAAAGCGAGCTCCAGGACAACCTGAACTGCATAGCTAGACCCTGTCTCAAAAAGAAAAAAAAAAAAAAATACATAAATAAGCCTTTTAAAGTGCTCTTAAAACTTGCATAGGGCTAGAGGCCAAGCTCCGTGAGATAGCATGTGCTTGGCATGCACAGGGCCTGGATCCCACCCTAGTACCAAAGATTAATAATAATTTTAATGAGGGGCTGGGGATTTGGCTCAGCAGCATAGCGCCTGCCTGGCAAGTGCGAGGTTGTGAGTTCAATTCCCGATACCAGAAAAAAACAAAAACAAACAAACAAAATAATAATCTTAATGATGATGATTTAATTTACTTAAAGTGCACAAAACTAAACACATGGGAATAGAAGTAAATCTGAGGAAACCTGATGAGGACAGTGGCTTATAATGGGTTGTAATACTGACATCACTGGTGGGGTTCCTTCGTGGGGTGTTTTGTCATGTTACAGCTTCAAGCACAGCAAGGCTACTTTCAATGGAACAAGCCCTGCACCCTGCTCTTGAAGACACCTTTTTCTAAAAAAAAATTTAAACAGAAAAAACAAAATTTCAAAACAAGATAACTGGAGGGTAACAATGGTTAATATATTGCATATAGTTATCTTTAAATTACTCAGACTACAAGATATTGACATTTAATTGTCCAAACAATATTATGCAAACCTTTCTTTTCACTGAACTAAGATAAATAGTATAACTATAACTATATATATATATATATATATATAACTTTTTTTTGTCTCCCTTTCTTCTTTTCTCCTTTCCCCATCCCAGTTTCTCTTTCCTTTTGAATTTTCTTCCCATTTTACAATATCTACTATAGGTTTGGGATCTTATTTACTCTTTCAGGTTCTCACACTAGGGAGACAATACAATGTTTATACATGTGCATCTGGTTTATTTCACTTATGAGTATGGTCTCAAGTTGCATCCATTTACCTATAAAAGTCTTCAGCTTATCCTTCTTTATGGCTTAGTACTCCATTGTAGAAAAAGACATCTTTTTCATCCATCCCTCAGTTGATGGGCATTTGGGTTGTTTCCAAGATATAGCTATTATAAATTGTGCTGTTATAAACATGGGTGCACATATATTGCTGTGGTATGATGTTTTACATTCTTCTGGGAAGATACCCAGAAGGGTAATACCTGGGTCAAATGGGACCTCTAATCCTAGTTTTTTGAGGAATCTCCACACTGATTTCCACAGTGGTTCCACCAGTCTACACTCCCAACAGCAGTGGAGTAGGGTTCCTTTCTCCCCACAGCACCTCCAGCATTTGTTATTGGGTGATTTCTTGATGATAGCCATTCTTTCTGGAGTCAAATGGAATCTCAGTGTTTTAATTTGCATCTCTCAAGTGCCCAGGGATGTTAAACATTTTTTCATGCATTTATTTGTTTGTATTTCTTCATCTAAGAAGTGTTTATTCATCTCAAATGCCCACTTTTAGATTGTGTTTTTAAATTTGGGAGTTCTGACATTTTTGAGTTCTTTTTGTTTTCAATAATCCTTTGTCTGAGGAACAGCCAGCAAACATTTTTTCCTACATTGTGGGTTGTCTCTTCACTCTGTTGGTGGATTCCCTTGCTGTGAAAAAGCTTTTTAATAAAATGAGATCTCAGCCAGGCATGGTGGCGCATGCCTGTAATCCCAGCACTCTGGCTGAGGCAGGAGGATCGTTGAGAGTTCGAGGCCATCCTGGGCTACAAAGTGAGCTTAAGGCCAGCCTGAACTACATAGCAAGACCCTGTCTCAAAAAGACCAAAAAAAAAAAGATGAGATCTCAGTTGATTCTTTGTGATAGTTCCCGTGTGATCAGGATTTTATTAATGTTTTTACCTACACCAGTGTCTTCAAGAGTTTTACCTATTCTATCTTCCAGCAGATTTAATGATTCTGTTTTGAGTTTTTTTTATCCATTTTGAATTTAGATTAGTGCATGGTGAAAGACATGCGTCCAATTTTAATCTTCAGCATTGGAATGCCAGTTTTTCCACAACCATTTATTAAAGAGGCTTTCTTCCAGTGGATGTGTTTGGCACCTTTGTCAAAGGTAAGGTGGCTGAGTATGTCTGGGGTTGTTTATGTATCTCCTAATCTGTTCCATTGACTTTGGGGTCTGTTTTTTTTTTTTTTTCCAGTACCATGCTGTCTTTATCACTGTAGCTTTATGGTATAATTTCAAATCAGGGACTTTGATGCCCCTTGCCTTGCCTTTGTTGCCCAGAATTGCCTTTGCTGTTCTAGGTCTCTTCTGGTTCCAAATCAGCTTTAGGATTGTTTTCTCTAATTCTGTGAGATACGCTGTTGGTATGTGGCTGGGATTGCATTACATCTGTATAAACTCTGGAAGTATAGCCATTTTCACTATATTGGTTCTTCCTAACCAAGAGCAAGGGATATTGTTCCATTTCCTGATATCCTCTTCAATCTGCTTTTCAAAGTACGGTGGCTTTCAACGTAGAGGTCTTCTACATCCTTCATTAGGTTGATTTCTCCTTTTTTTTGGATGCTATAGTGTAGCCCAGGCTGGCCAGGGGGTGTCTCCAAGAGCAGGGTGCAGGGCTTGTTCCATTGAAAGTAGCCTTGCTGTGCTTGAAGCTGTAACACGACACAACACCCCACGAAGGAACCCCACCAATGATGTCAGTATTACAACCCGTTAAAGCCATTGTCCTCGTCAGGTTTCCTCATTTCTCTCTCAGTGAGCTTATTTATGCACAGGAAGGCTATGGATTTTTAAATGTTCACTTTATAGCCACTAATGCTACTGAATTTGCTTATTAAATCTAGCAGTTCTTAGTGGAATTTTGGGGGTATTCTATGTGGAGTACCATGTCATCTGAAAATAATGAGTTTAACGTCCTTTTCTATCCTTATTCCTTCTATTTCTTTCTCTTATCTAATTGCTCTGGCTAAGGTTTCCAGAACTATGTTGAATAAGAGTGGAGACAGTGGACATCCTTGTCTTGTTCCTGATTTTAGAGAGAAAGCTTTCAATTTTTGTCCATTTAGTATGATGTTGACTGTTGGTTTCTCATAGATGGCTTTTATCAGATTGAGCTAAAGATTATTCCAATTTTCTGTAGGGTTTTTATTACGAATGGGTGCTGGACCTTGTCAAAAGCTTTTTCTGCATCTATTGAGAGGATCACATGATTTTTATCCTTGGCTCTGTTAACATGATGTATCACATTTATTGATTTACATATGTTGAGCCATCCCTTTATCCCTGGGGTGAATCCAACCTGGTCATGGTGTATAGTCTTCTTGATAATTTGTTGCATTCGGTTTGCCACTATTTTACTGAGAATTTTTGCATTTATGTTCATTACTGAGATTGACCTGTAATTTTTTTTTTTTAATTGTAAAGAGAAAAAAAATTTCAAAACAAAATAGTAGGGTAACAATGGTTAATACATTGCATGTAATTATCTTTACTCAGACTACAAGATATTGACATTTAACTGTCCAAACAGTATTAGCACAAAACAATGAACTGAGAAATTAGTAGTATAACTATCCTATTATACATTTTTTTTTCTTTTCCCTTCCTTTTCTCCATTCCCCGTTTCTCTGTGGAAGTTTCTTCCCATTTTACAATATCTACTATACATTTTGGATCTTATTTACTCTTTCAGCTTTTCACACTAGGGAAACAATGTTTGTGTATTGGCATCTCATTTATTTCACTTATAATCTTGGCCAGACATGGTGGTGAACACCTGTAATCCCTGCACTCAGGAGGCTGAGGAAGGAGGATCGCGGCAAGTTCGGGGCCAGCCTGGGCTACAAAGTGAGTTCAAGGTCAATCTGAACTGCATAGTGAGACCCTGTCTCAAAACGAGGAAAAAAAAAAAAAGAAAGAGTAGTCTTGAGTTGCATCCACTTACCTATAAAAGTCTCCCATTTACCCCTTTATGGCTGAGTAGTACTCCATTGTATAAAAAGCTCACACCTTTTTTTACCCATTCCTCAGTTGATGGAAAGCCACATTTTATTTCTTTAAATATATCCAATACACTGACTTTCTGTTGTGTGCTGGGTTAGCATCTCCAAACTTGCGGGTTTGGTTTCTGTGGCGTTTGCTCATGGTACTGGAGCGTGTGAAATCCCTTTTTCCTGTGTATGACAATGCCTTGACCTCAGAAAGGCATTCTGGCTGGGGCAAGCGCCCTCCTCAGCCACTGCACCTTGGCCAAGCACATAGTTCAAAGCCTCCCTGCCCCGCCTGCCACACCCTCAAAACCCTGCAGGCTGGCTGCCTGGCCCAGCTCTGCCCCACTCCCACCCGCCTCCAGCCTGCCTTCAACTGTGACAGACCATTCCTCAGAACACTGCATGTTTCACACAGCAACTAAAAGGCAGCAGTGAGCCAAGAGAGGGAGGCAAGGCAGGTGAGAGGGATTAGGCCATACGGTCCCCATGTGCCACCTCCTCGTGTGGAGTGTGATTGTCCTGTACAGCAAACGCGCTGACAAACACAAGGACACAACCACGTGCAGAGGGTGAGCCCACAAAGTCCTCCCACTAGTCAGTGCTTCCGACAGTGGGGCATGGCGAGCGCTGGGCGCTGACACTCTCAGAGCACACGGAAGAGCTCTGTCACCCAGCGCTGGAAAAACCCCCGCACACTCCATGGCAGAGAGGGACACAAGGTGGCCACTGCGGGCTCACGAGCCGCCTGCACCATGCCCAGGGAGCAGCTGAGCCTCGGCATCGGGCATGGCAGCCCGCACACTGAGTACAGCCATGGAGGGGGCTATTCCCATCTAAGGGAACCCTGTCTTCCCCTCTCAACCCAGCCCAGGTGGTCAGCGCCCCTCCCACCCTGGCTGCTGGGGTTCACAGAGTGTCCCTGGGCCTCATGGACACCAGTGCCACACAGGTCCCCAGCCCCTCCTCCCAGCCCTGCACAGGACAGCTCGGAGCCACCAGCCTGGCCCTTAATGCCCTTCACCCACTGTCCCTGCCCTGCAGGAAGACTGGCCAGAAACGACACCTGCCCTTTGAAGGGGCTGCTTGCTGGCACACTTTAATAGCCGCCCTGGCTCAAAGAGGAGGCTGGGGGTTCCCACGGGGTAGGTGCCTTGCAGCGTGCATGGTGACACCCAGCAGCAGGAGTCCAGCAGCAGCCCTGCCAGCTCCAGGAGCAAGGCACAGTGGTGGGCGGGTGTTTTAGGACCTGCCCTATGGGATGGTACAGGCCCTCTGGCCAGTGCCCAGGACAGAGCAAGCTGAAGGGCACAGAGGGCACTCAGGAAGGGCACACAGACACCCCAACCCGCAGGGTCCGAGTCCCCACTCAGAGGAGCACACAGGTCCCGCCTCAGTCAGTTTCTCCCTGAGAGTGACCACTGCCCTGTCGTCTCCCTGGCAAGCCAGGCCCACAGGCCCCAGGCCACCGCCCTCCATGTGGCGGACAGGTCGGGCTGCCAGCTGGACACAGACGTGTCAGTGGGCAGGCAGGCGGCTCAGGCCCTTCTCTTCAGCCACAGCCAAAGCCTTCCCAAGGCAAGGGTGCAACACAGGACGGTGACAACATGCAGGAGCATCCCCAGGTGGGGTGCTCCAGGAGCCCCACAGGGCCCAGTGGAGGCTGCCCAGGCTACTTGGGGGCTGTGGGCCACCAGTCTGGCACAGACACAGTGATGGTCACCAGGTCACTCTCTGAGGTCCTGATGTGGAGGGGCCCCTTGACTCTCTCTGTGCGCAGCAGGGCCAGCCCCAGGGCCCCCTGTCCAGCCCTAAACTTGCCGGCAGCCTGTCCTGACTCAGTCAGCACTGGGGTGCCAGGCTCAATACCACCCGCTGGGAGGCGGCCGGCCAGACGCACAGGGAAGAGGCGCTTGCGGATAACACCCATGTGGTGGGTGCGGGCGGTCAGTTCCTGGCCAATGTAACAGCCCTTTGTGAAGCTCACGCCGTTCATGAAGACCAGGTTGGACTCCAGGGGCAGGGCTACCCCTGGGGGCAGGTCGCGGACCCCCTCAGGGACACCTGTGGGGACAGAGGACACCAGAGGTGAGAGCACAGGCACAGGCACCCTATCTTGTCCCCTCCCGCTGCCCACACTGCTGCCATACCTTGCTGGTACCGGTGTGCATGATAATCCCGTGGGTCCCCCAGCCTGGCACCAGGCACCAGGGCTGGGCCTGTGTCCTGCGTGAGGAGCCGCCAGCCCATGCGCACCGTCCGGGGGTCGCAGGCCAGGATCCCAGTGGCCTCTGCTCTCTCCTGCAAGGGTGCTGCCTGGTCAGCCCAGGTGACAGCAGGCAGCACTGCCCACACACGGCATTCAGGCCATGGTTCCACCTGGACCTTCCGTCGGACCCGGTACAGTGCCAGGTGCCGATGCAGGGCATCCAGCAAGGTGTGGTCACACTCCAAAAGGAAGCCAGGGGCCTCAGGCACACACTCAGGGAGCCTGTGGAGAGAGATGATGCTAGGGGTGTGCCAGGCATAGCATTCAAGGGATCCCCAGGGTATACCAGTGTCCCTGGGGGACAGGACCCCAGGACTCTGAATCACACCTGAACTTCAGACCGTTGGCTTAAGTGTAGTCATCCTTTGGTGCGTGTGGGATAGGTTCCAACCCCACAGTTTACATAATGTGCCCTGTTCAAGTCCTTTACACAAAATGGCACAGCATCTGCCCAGGGTTTATACACGTTGTCCTGTACACTGGGTCAACTCATGGCCAGGTCACTTACAATCCCTAACGCAACAAAACGCCAGGGAAACTGTTGCTCGACTGTACTGTTCCAGAATAACGGCACAAAGTCTGTACCCATTCAGTAAAGACACTCCATCTTCTCAAGTATTCCCAATCAAAGGGGACTGACAGCACGGCTACAGAAAGCCGGGACGAGACACACACTAACGAGTCACCATACTCTTCTCAGAGCCCACCTGGAGCAAAGCTCAGCGGTGGCTTTGGAAAGTGGCTGTATCTGGATATCCCACAAAGAATCATGCAGTCATGGGGGGCAGGCTTTGCACAGGTGGCTGAATCTAGAGTGTGTGATCAGTTCCCTGATTGGTTTGGCAGTGCCCCCATCCCAGCAGCCTGGATAGAGTATAAAAGGGCCAGAAAGAGGCTGTTAAGGTCATTGTTGATTTTGTGGTCTTCTGCCCCACATGAACTGTTCTCCTCAGCAAAGCCACCCTGCCCTGGAGCCTGACGGTTATGGACTGAACCCTCTACAAACTGTGAGCCAAATAAGCCTTTCCTCCTTTAACTTTGGGTGTTGGGTATTTTGTCTCAGCAATGACAGAAAAGTAACTACGGCAGGCTAACAGTTGCGTCCAGGTCTGAGCACACCTGCTGGTGGTATGCAGGCTGGCTCACACCCTAATGTGAGGCAAGGAAGGCACCACAGCCAGGGGTGCAAACCAACCCCAACCCTAGCGGAGCATCTGCTACCAGCCCCACAGAGCCTGCGCCCCGGGTGCCAACTGCCCCAGGAAGGCTGACAGGGGCCCAGCCTCCACCTACCTGGGCTTCAAGGAGGAGATCCCACCCCATGAGATCCTGAGCAGGGGCAGAGGCTGAGGGCCCAGGGGGCTGGCGGTGCTGGATTAGGACCCGCCTCACACTCATCTTACACTGCCTTTGTCCCCTTTAGTTATTCTGTGGTGGAGCCGCGGTGGGCCTTGGGCCACACATCCTGCCATGGACCTGGATCAAAGGATTTGCTCAGCCCAGTGGTTTGCAATCCTCCACTTGGGACAAGAAGTGGCTAGGCTGGCCCGGGGACCCGCCAACCCTCGCTCCTCCAGAGGCCACAGCTGCTCCACCCCCAGTGCCGGCAGATCCAGAGGAAGAGCACAGAGACCTGTGCTGAGCCCAGGGCTGTGGTGGACACAAGGCCGACCTCGGGACGGGTAGGGAGCCGAGGCAGGCCAAGGCCACCCGCACCCGCCACAGCAAGGAGATGCAGCGATGCCCAAACAGCCACCTCACTGCCTTGAGAGGGACCAGACTCACAAGGCCAGCAGATTAAACAGGATGCCGGGGCGACCCTGCTGCGACGATCACACAGCACCAGACGCTGTCAGGTGCTGCCTCACTAGGGGACAGGCTGCCCCTCGAGGCACGCACGGAGGCGGGGTGACAGGCAGCGCTGGGGGAGCCCTCCGGAAGGTGCCCACCGAGAGGCGGGGTGCAGCACCACTGCTGCAAGTCCCGTCCCTGGCCACTTCCACTGGGATCCCTCTGTGTGGGGAGGGTTGGCCCGTCGCTCCAGCGTCCCCCCCGGGCCCCTCCCCCGACCCCGCGCTAACCGGTATAGGATGACGTCGTACAGCGTGCGCCCCTGCACGTTCAGAAAGTGGGCATAGGCCGCACGCGCGGGGGGCGTGGCCGCGCCGTCCGAGGGACCCGGAAGCGGCAGCTCATTGGTCAGCAGCCCCAGCAGGAAGGGCGCCGCGTCTGGGCCGCGCACGCGCAGCACGGCGCGCTCGTGTAGCGGGAAGCAGGTCCACGCCGCGCCGTCCGCGGGGGCGCCCCCGAGACATCCCGAGCTGTGGGCGAGGTAGTTCCTCAGAGCCGCGTGAAGCTGCCAGCGCCAGGCCAGGCCGGCGCGCCCGACAGACCCGCCTCGGAGCAGCGTCCTAACCGCCATCTTGAGCACCAGTGAGACGACGGAGAGCGGGCGCCGCGGCGGCCCCTGGTGGGAGCCGCCGACATAGAAAAGCGGGCGGAGCGTGCGTGAGGGGCGGGGCCGAGCGGCCGGAAGGGCGGTGAGCGCGGCTGTGCGCGCTGGCCTCCCGCTCGCGCGAGCCTCCGCGTGCCTCTCTGCTGCCGCGCCGCTGTGAGAGGCCCCACCGCGGCCCTGAGCTCCAGGCGGGGTGCAGTTTAAGAGGACGCTGAAGAAGCCTTTTCCGAGGGCCCCGGAGGTGGGCACAGGAGGATGGGCCCGTCTCCAGACTGCATGCCGCGGGGGCAGATGGCGCAGGAGGCAGCGGGGTGTTGCGGCTGCACAGACTCCGCAGGGTTCTTGCTAGAACTGGAATTTTTTTTTTTTTTTTTTTTTTTTTTTGCAGTACTAGGGGCGAAACCTCGAGCTTTACACATGCTAGGCACGCGCTCTACCGCTGAGCCACGTTCCCAGCCCTTTTTATTTTTTGAGACAGGGTCTCATTAAGTACCCAGGCTGGCCTTGAGCTGTGGTCTTCCTGCCTCAGCCCCTCGCGGAGCTGGTTCGGTGTGCATGGACCCTGGGCAGGGAATCTGTCGCAGCTTAGTGCCATCCCCCCGGGTAGGGCACTGCCGGCCGTGCGCCAGGCGCTCAGTTGACATTAGACAGATTACTGTCCGAGGTAGCTCTCTGCAGAAAGCGCCGCACGTGTGGCTCCCGGGCTGTAACCAGGCCCTGCCTGCCTGTCCCAGGGCCTCTGACGGCTCTGGACCCCTCCCTGTCGGCCTGGCCTGTGCTTGGGCTGAGGGAGGCCAGGCCAGGAGCCCCCAAAGGCCCTTAACCCTCAGTGCCCCTCCTTCCTAGAGGTCCCCAGCCAGCGCTGGAATGTGCGGTCCTGGCAGGCTGCCCCTTCCTCTCTTTGGGCCTGAGGGTGCTCCCTTGCCGTCCACAGGGCAGGGTCGCGTTCCTCTAGTCTCACGTCAGTCCACCCCTGGCCGGGGGAGACTCTGGCGCCCCACACGCATCCCTGCAGACCATCCGGCAGGAAGGCCCGGTGACCACCCAGTGCTGGAGGAATGCAAGGGGCTGCTTAGCTGCTGATGGGCTCAAATGGAAGGAAATGGAACTCACCTCTACCCCCACCCTGTCAGAGGCTCCCCTCCAGGAAGATGATCTCCTGTGGCAGCCTGACCAGCACCTTCCCCAGTGTCCCTGTAGCCCCCAGCACAAAGCTTGGGGCCTGGGTCGCTGCCCTGCGAGGAAGAGGGGAGTGTGGCTCAGTCTGTGCAGTCTGGCTGCAGAGGCCTCCTGTCCTCAGCAGCTCCTACAAGGCCTGGGAACAGAGAGGACGGAAATGGGCTGGCTGGGAGTCCCAGACCCCGCCTCCCACGGTGGCAGTAGTTTCCTGTTTTTCTCTTCTCAGGGCTTCCTCCCCTTTCTGGGGCAACTTTGAACATGGCCCCTCCACCCTAGCCCTCTGCAAACTCCCATGAGCAGCAGCCAGTTGGCCAAGGCCATGGAAACAGATGAAGCTGAGAGAAGAAGGCATGCCCTGCTGTGGATGGGGCCACCAGCCTGGTTGATGGGAGACAGGCAGATTCAGATCCCATGTGCTGTCCCATTGCCATCAATCTCTCCAGAGTTAGGCTTCTCTGTTTTGGGGAGGTTTTTTGTCTTTTTTGAGACAGGGTCTCGCTCTGCAGTTCAGGCTGGCCTTGAGCTCACTTTGTCAGCCAGGCTGGTCTCAAACTCCCACGATCCTCCTGCCTCAGCTTCCCAAGTGCTGGGATTCCAGGCATGTGCCACCACGCCCAGCGAGTTAGGCTTCTCAAAAAGCAGTAACTGACTGCACAACACAGAGCCATGGGCGCCCAGGTGTCTGGCAACCTTGCTCTAGCTCACAGCGATGGATTGTGGACAAAGTGCTACAGGGAGCCACTCAGAGCTCCCAGTGCGAAGACAGGATGAATGTGTAAGGATGCCTGCTTCATTACCGCTGTAAAACTCCCCAATCCTCACACTGCACCTCATGGACATGCATAATTTTGTGTCAGTTAAAAATATTTTCAGACAACATTATTCTGGGTGTGTCTGGGAGGGTCTTTACCCATGAGGTTGATATTTGAATTGGTGGTCAGAGGAAAGCCCAATGTGGACCTCATCCAATCAGGCAAAGACCTGAGGGAAACACATGGATGCCTGGACACCAGGCACAGCTGCTCATCATACCCCATGGCACCACAGGTACTCTGGCTGGGACAGCTCTCCCAGCCTCAGGGCTCAGACTCATTGCAGGGTTCTTCCCAGGCAGGTGCTGCCACAGCCCAGTTGAGAGGACAGTGCCCTGACTCAGTGTGCCTTCATTCTCAGGCTGCCCTTCCCTCACTGCCATCTCTGGCTTCCTGGGCCAGGGAGCAGGTGCACGGCACTTGGCTTGGGATCGGTATTCCACAGGGACAGACAGAGGTTGCACTTGGAGCTCCAGTGGGCTTTGCTCGGAGGCCCTGGGGGAGAGGGGCTTGTGGCCCGGGAGTCACCTGGGGCCTTCTCTGGGGTGGCTCCTGGCCAAGAGTGGCTGGTCTCCACCCAGCCTGCCCCCATGTCCCTCACCAGAGCCACTGCAACCAGTCCTGCCAGCATCCCAGTACCTCCAGTGCTGCCTCTGCCCCGGACTTCAAGCTGACCTTGTGCCTGGCTGGTCTTTGTCTCCTGACATCTGTGTGTCCCACCCAGGATGCTGCCTGGCACTGACTGGCACCATTGAGTCTGTGACCTGCAGGGACTTGGTCTCTGGACTGTCCCTGCTTATCCCTGGGAGAGTGCTCCTCTTCAGCCAGCCTGAAGCTAAACTGTGTCCCCTGGTGGCCAGAAGTGGACACTCATCACACATGCTTGCCCACATGCATGCAGGAACACACTGCCACACACAGGCACAGTTAGTGTGCACATCAAGCAGCTCACGCATGTTCAGACATGACACGTGTGTATTCTCTGTGTAAACAAAGTTGGCTTTATTTCTCTCCCTTGTTCGAAGCTAACTCCGAATCAGGAAGGGCCAGAAGCCAAAGCCAGAGACCCTGATCACCACTGTGGCTGTCCACACCACAAGGCACAGATGTCCCAGCAGAAGGGTGAAGCAGAGAAGGCACGGTCCTGTCCTGCCCTGGCTCACCCTGGGTGCTTGCCCAGGCTGACTCCGGCAGGGAGCCCAGAGCTGGGTGCTGACGGGCTGGGTACAAAGGCCTCTACCTGGCCAGGACTACCTGGGTTTCCCATTCCCAGCAAGGAGTCGCCCCAGCTGTGCAGAAACGGGGTGGGGGTGGGGGCTACAGAGAAGCTGATTTACTGCTACAGGGAGCGCAGCAGGGACAGCACAGTCCCTTGCTAGTGTCCTGATGGTACCGCTGTTCCACCTGGGGAGCTTCAGTGACCAGAGGGGCAGGTGCCCAGCAGTGTGGGGTCCCCGGGGCCCACCGTGCTCAGGACATTCCTGGAGGGGGTGCCTATCAGCCCTGGGCCCCAGCTCTGCACAGCCCTGGGGATCCTGGCAGGAGCACAAGCAGTCCACGCTGCGCTCAGATCCACACAGTGGTCTTGCCGTCCCTGCTGCCCCCGCTGCCCTGCTCTGAGCCCGCCCTGGGCTTCCGGCTGCGCTCGCCCGTGGCGCCCCCCGAGCCCGACGCGTTGCTACCCGAGCCCGACGCCGGGGCGCCCACCCGCGGGGGCCC